AGACCTCTGCCATGGTGACAAAACATCTAGGCATTTTGACTTGCAGTGCTTGCACAATGCCAAAGGGCTACTATTTTGGGAGAGATATGAGCTTTTGCAGGTGATCCATGGTGTTGTGCTGAACCATCCAGGTTATTTTGGCAAAAAGCACTAAGTGAATGCAAATGAGCCAAAGCAATTGAGAAAGATCTTTGACATTTTGATGGTACTGACTCTTTATATGGGAAAGGAATCTATTTTGAAGCATGTGTGAACAGTTTCGGGAAAGATATGAACTTTTGCTAGTGAGCTATAATGTTGCGCAGAACTGTAAGACTGTTTGGCCAAATGATCTTATAGTTTTAAGAATGTAATTTCTGTTTCACGAAATGAGCCAAACCAATGGAGAAAAACTGTAACACCAAAGCAGCTGAAACTGATTAACAACCCCCTCTGCTACTTAACTGACCAGATGAATATCCAAGAAGTTTAGTTTACTTGATGCTATACTCTGATTAATAAGCGTTCTTTTAATTTTTTTGAGCAGTGTATGTTGTAATGTATAAAATTAAATTAATTAAAATAAAAAAATTATACATAAAAAAAATCATGAATAAAAAAATATTGTCTTATCTACCAGGTGTTTGGTGCTGATAACTTATAGTTTCACCGCGTGGCAGTGAGGTTGGTCTTTTTTGAGACGTTTTTCTTAAATCATTGTTCAACTTAAGTCATTCCTTTTGGAACCAATTACTGACGCAAGGGTGAGGTATATGTATATCCCATAAATTGCAGTGATACAGCATTGCTGTGTTTTTGGTTTCTACAATACATTGTCATTTTGTTGTTCTTGTATTGCCATTTTACTGTTTTTGTGTTTATACAGTATTGTTGTATAAGTACAGTTTTTTTCTATTGTACTATGTCATGAGATCTGAAGAAGTTACTTGTGCTTTCAAGTACTTTCTCTTGCCAGTGAAGTTTACATATTGTAATCAGGGACGGATTATGGGTTGTGTGGGCCCCTGGGCAAAATTCAAGGGCCCTTGGCAGCCAAACGCCCTCCCTCCATGTTTCCATCAGAGGCCCTATAGGGTCAGGGGCCCTTGTAGGCAGAGGATCAAAGAATGTAGGCCCTCTAAAATAGACAAACGAAAATACATTGTTGATAAGCATTGCAAATTGTTTTGGGCTAGGGGCCCCATGGGCCCCCTGCACCCCAAGGGCCCCTGGGCAGCGGCCCCACTGGCCTGGTCCGTAATCCGTCCCTGACTGTAATACAGAGGCTTGCAATGTTGAAACTGGTGTCTTTGATATGAATTAGTATCAGTGTGCTAAAGAAAAATGATCAGTCAGTGACAATGAAAAATGGGAACCGACTATCATTCCAAATTTTGCAGCTCAGGAACATACCCTGACAATCTGACAATACATTTAAGCATTATGGTGGCACTGACTAATTCATTGGTGGAATTATTTGCTTTTGAGACACGAGTTAATTGTTTTGGGCAGGTTACAGGCTTTTGCAGCTAAACTTTAGTGTTGTGCTATGTGCCTGAACTGTTTTGAGAAATGCTTTTACAGTCTTCTAAATGTTAAGCATTGATAAAGCATTGATTCATGAAATATGCCAAAACAATCGACAAAAGCTGAAAAACGATGCTGATTGTACTTTTAATTGAAAATCTTCTTTTAATTTTTTTTTACATTTATGTTTAATGCATGTATCAGTACTGCCAAGATGAATTCCTAGTACATGTCAGTGGGCCTGGCCAATAAAGTGAATTGTGATAGTGAGGAATTTTTGGTTTATCCCGATGCTCACCACTTTTGATGAGGAAGCGCAGGGCCTCCACACGGCCACACTGGGCTGCCACAAAGAGGGGAGTGATGCCGTACATGTTGGGGGTGCCGACCTTGGCCCCAGCCTCCACCAGCATCTCACAGATTTGCAGGTTGTTCCGGCAGACTGCTTCATGAAGCGCTGTCCAGCCCTGGATGCAGATTTTGTTCACCCCGCCACCGAACTTCAAAATCAGCTCCACCATTTTCACGTTTTCCTGCTCACATGCTGTCACAGCAAAGAATGACACAGCTTGTGCTCATGTGTGCACCAATGGTGAACATCCTTTCCTCACACTATGCTAATTCCTCAAATATTTATGCAAATTTGACAAACAGTTGAATATGTAGCGGTCTATCCAGATACAGCCTACGTATTATGAAGTGGGGGAAAAAAAATCAAAGTTTATTGAAAAATTGTCAACAGTACGGCAAACAGCAGTAGATGCAGGCAATTAAATGAGTTTCCTTGACAACTCACTACAGTGAGTAACAGAAATATGGAAATAAATAAACAGGCAAATAAATAAATAGATGGACGGACAAATAAATGAATATTTTTAAATGATCAGAATAAGTTAAAATAGTAAAAGTAAAGTAGCAAAAAAATTACTGAATGAATAAATGTATGAATTGGTGGGTGAATGAATGAATGAATTAATTAAATGTAATGTGCAAATTCTCCGTAATAATAGCCTGATGAGCTACTGAGCAGCCTTTCAGCCAGCTTACTGAAGCAGGGTACCTTTGAACAGGGGCGTCTCCCGGTCTTTATTAGCAAGGTCAGGGTCAGCTCCGTTTTCCAGGAGGTGACGTGCACAGGACAACTTGTCCCTGGAGACTGCCAGGAACAGTGGGGTCTGCTCCCTCGGGGTGCGCTTGTTGATCATTCCAGTATGAACTAGGGAGAAAGTAGTGTAAAATAAAAGGGCCACATGAGAATATGCAAGTATGTTCGTCATCTTTTCCATGTTTCACTACAAGTTCTGCCCTCCCCATACTAAAGAAAAACATGTCTAAAATATTTTTAAACATTGAAAATTAGCCACTTTATATATATATATCCTCCTGAGACCCCACCCATTCATGTATGTCCATTGTAGTGGACATTTTGTTTTTGCATCTATCTTTTCACTGATGTAAGGAAATGTATTTATTCCTGTTGTACACTAAAGAGGACATGCTGTGAAATTAAAACTAAAAATAAATTTGAAAAAAAATTAATTGTAAGATGTCTTATTTCCTCCAAAGACAAATAACCTCAAATTGAAGGACACTTTTTTCCTTGGGTCTCAGGAGGATATATTTACAAAATGCAATGCATATATGTACATGCATTTGTCTTCCATATGGGAAGGCATAGCATATCTTCATAGTGCATATGTTGCACAAATTTGGAAATGTGCACCATATACCATTTATGGTGATCACATCTGACTGGGTGAAATTGATCAATGATCATTATAACTGATTTTTTTCTTCTTCTTTATGTGTCAGGCAGATTACCATCTCATTGACATTTGTATATTTATCACATGAATATAAGGTAATAAAATGGACAGCGTCGCTATTTGCTTATTTTTTTTTTGACAACTTCAAAATACAGTACCACTGTTACAAATGCTTTTCAAATTAAAGTACTGTACAAATTAAATTACTGAACTGTGTATAATTGTAATATGCTATAATACAGTACTGTACTTTACATAAATATTCAGTTCAATAAAATTTTATTTACACAGCATTTTTACAATGTTACATTGTCTCAAAGCGCTGCATCCTGCTGGCTCATTTTTGGCAGTTTATTGATGATATTTGTCATTGAGAGAAAATGAGTTTCTTTTTCCTGTCATGTTTTCTGTGTCTGCAGCATTCGTCTCGGGTAGCTATCCAGATGCAGACAAGTTACCACAAGGCAAAGCAGGGTGATCCATCGAATGAATTATGAGAACCAACCTCTCAGCAGGACAGCCAAGCAGTCCAGTGATCCATAGTAAGCAGCCTCATGCAATGCCAGCCAGCCGTCCTTGTTGGGTTGGGTCAGACTCTCCAGATCAGACTTTGCCATTTCCTTCACAGTCTTCACATCATCAGCTGAGATAGCTCTGATCACTGGGTTCTCCTCCCTAAAAGTCAGATTCCTCCTATGTATGACTACTTTTCTGCTTTGTTATTTATTTGCGCATACTCATCCCCATTGTGTATGTATTGCGTATTTATTGTCCACTCATACCTATATTGCAATGCCTTGTCTTACATTGTCCTTTCTTTTATTGCACTTCTGTTGTCCTGTTTACATTGTTGTTTGTCCTATTGTACTGCTATGCACCTGTCCCATCCCCTGCAACCGTGATAAATGAATTTCACTGCGTTCCTCCAAACAGACATGATTATAAAACTAAAAACTTCTTTAGTACTATCATGCTTCTTACAAAGGCAATAGCTCATACAGAACAAGATAATAATACTTTTACTTTACAAGCCCTTTACCATGAAAATCATTTTCTTCATCAATCCCAGATAATATTTTGTTAAAACCTAAGCTTCTAGAGCCCTATTATTCAAATCACGGCCCTCGAGGTCCAAGCCCTGCTGGTTTTCCAGCCTTCCTTTACCTGTGAGCCAGGTGTGAAGCCTCTGACAAATCAGAATCAGTAATTATTAAACTAACTACCTGGGAGATCTGAAAACATGGCCTGGATTTGGAATCGAGGTCCAGATTTGAAGAACCCTGTTCTAGAGGTATGACAGCCTTTAGATTGACCACACAGTTACTTAGGGAATTCATTTAATGGCTTTAAGGGATGGTGAGTAATTGAGGTGAGGACTGTAGTCATCTCCCAGTTTGCAGCAAGTCAAATAAAAAGGTTTTGTGCCCTTGATTGCATTCCTCTTAGTGCACTTTTTCTCACTTACTTTGGCAGATTTCATGAAACATACTTAACATTCTCAAGACAATAAAAGCATTTCTCAAAACAGTATATGCATATACAGTAGCACAACACTAAGGTTTAGCTGCAAAAGCCTGTAACCTGCCCAAAACAAATAAGTTTTGTCTCAAAAGCAAATACTTCTATCAATGAATTAGTCAGTGCCACAAAAATGTGAAGTATAATCAGCACTGTTTTAACCACGAGAGTCAAAGTGTTTAGATATTTCCTCAGTATGTCAGTGTACATATGCTCCTGAGCTCCACAATTCCTATACATATTCATGTCAAAGACACCAATTCCAACATTGCAAGGCTCTACGTTACAATACATAAAGCTCACTGTCAAGAGAAAGCACTTACATGTACATGTAATTTCTTCAAATCTCCAGGCACACTACAATAGCAAACCAAAAATTCACATGGCGCTATAACACAAAACTAGCAAAATGGCAATACACGAACGACAAAATGACAACGAAATGTACTGTGGGAACCAAAAACACCGCAATGCTGTATCACTGCAATTTATGGAATATATTTTTTAATTATTTTGAAAGGTTGCTTGACTGTTTTGCATGTGGTGGCTTACACGATGATCACAAACATATATTGTTAGGGTTTAAAATTATTACAGTGGGATACTACATAATCTATTTTGAACAGCAAGACTAAAACAACTGAAAATTGTGCCAAACAATGACAATCGTACAAAACCATTTGCATATATGTACTAAACCATGTGGAAATCTGAGTGAAACAATGAGAAATGATGTTCTGCTGTGCATAAGTCACATTATAGTGTGGCAGTTACACTTCTTGTTTTGCAAATGTTAATTGTCATTTGAGAAATGCTCCAAAGTAATCGAGAAAAACTATAGCACATACAGAGTTTGCTGTGTTGCCTATGATTTCAAAGATGATTTTAAAGAGTCACAGTCCCAAAGAACTCAACTGGTTGGTTGAAACAAAATCTTGGTCTGGAATTTTACGTTCTGGACCTGAACTATCCACCCGTGACAAGCACACAGCTGGCCCTTTCCTGAGGCATGTACACAAAGCCTTATGTGTTTTTGAACTAGTCCATTCTGGTTGAATCCCAGGCCCACAGGATGGCTCACACACAGCTGTACTCACTCTTCGGGTTCTGGCATGACGAGGGTGCCATCATATCGCCGCCAGGCCACCATCCTCTGGCCATCTCGGGTGACGTAACTGCTTCTAGTTGCTCCTACAAGCCTACAATGCGTCAGATGACACAATTACGATGAGCAGTGACTTTGAATTCAAAATCTGCTGCACAGCCTTAGTAATCACTAAGTAATCATTAGTAATGTGAAAGATGAGAATTCTCTGGCTGTGTTGCTTGTGGGCTGTATCTAGGTAAAGGGGTAAGAACTGTCTGTAGGTTGAATAGATGCCACCCCTGACTATCTGCAAGGACTTCACCAAGCACTCCCCCTGTTGTGATAACTTGGGAGTTAACTGACACAGAAGAGATCAGTTCTTCAGCTGCTGTAGTTACATTGTTAATTAGTGATTCCACTATTCTAGTACAAAAGTACAACCTGACTAGATAATTAGTAATTAGCGGTGTAGTGGTGTCCTCTCCAGTTTTCTGTAGGTAGCTTAATGTTACCCAGGTGGGTTTGCTGTGGGAGGGATCACTTCTTGGTCAGCAGCTTGAACATGCTGCCTGGCGGATTGGCTTGGCTGCCTTTGCATTGCAGTTTTGCTGCTTGACGCGACCTGGGCATTGGCTGCATTACTGTCAGCCAGACTGCGTTCGATAGCAAGCTCAAGCAGCTCCTCTTCCGAGAGGCCACTGTAAAGACTGTAGTCATCAGATCCCAGCGTTGAACATGCCGGGCCTTGTAACGTTGTACCAGAGGCCATGCTTGCTCCAGGGAATGGAAAACTGCAATAATATGAATGCTGTTCTTCCACGTTCCTCTTCAATGTGGCAATAGGTCTAAAAAAATTAAAAATACATTTTTTTTCCAGTGGCATTCGTGTCTGGACTCAAGTTCACATATGAATGGATTTGGTCTTGTCACATGCTCGGGTGAATTTTTAAAGTCATGACTCAAACACTTATGACTCTAAAAATCTTTTCGAGTCCATAGCCCTGGTTCCAGAATCATTTTGCCAGAATTTATGTAAGTTTCAGTACAAGACATCCAGTAAAAAGAAGCACAAGGCAGAATGCAAATTTTAGAAAACATTGATAACTAAGGTGACTTGCACAACTTCCAATTTCTATTGACACTTGGAGAGGAAACATAAAGGTAGGTATGTAGGCTAATGCTAGTGAGCTCAAGCAAACTCAAGCTGAGGTGAAACGGTGTTTCTGAATTTCCCAGTGTTTGAGCCTATGAAGATCTGGCATCTTGCCAAGGCTGATCCGGGTTTGATAATAATTATAGATGGAAGGGTGGATAATCACTTCTTTAACTTCTTTTTGTTTTATTCTATTTTTAATTTTTCCGTAGTGCAATAGTATCCTCTTACCAGTGGAATTTCCAATTCCATGTTTCCCCTCTTCCTAATTATTCAAGACCCACCAGAAGTTCCTAAATTAATTTGATGTACTTTTCTAGAGACATACTGGTCTCTGTCCAATGATTAACCACAATGGCAGTCGATACCTTCGTTTCCATTCCTTGAGTAGTGTGCATAGTTATGCAGCGTCAGCATTTTTTTCTGCACTACAGCAATTAGCTGTTTAATTAAAGCCAGGGGTGCCGTAAGGGGGAGGAAAGCTAGGATGATTCCAAGGGCCCCTGAGTGACAGGGGCCCTACAAAATTAGGAAAATAACTGGATTGGTTTGGACTGGGGGGCCTAATATGATATGCTTTCATGGGGCCCAAAATCTCTAGCAACGCCCCTGATTAAAGCCACTGCTTAGATAGAATCATCATGTAAACACTGTAGGCTGTTTGGTGTACTTATTTCTATAAAGGTCATATTTAGATTAATAAAGTTAGACAGTGTTAATGTGACCCATTGCTGATCATTAGGATTATGTGTCTGTTAGAGAAAAAAGCCAAAGATCATGTGCTCTGCTCTTCAACACACAGAGTCGATAGCTTCCATAAAACACAACCTTACACCCCCACTGCCCTTAGCTTGTGTTGACCTTCCAGTGCACATTACCCTGTACTGTGCTAATGCTACAATGACAAGCCATACATCAGACATTGTTTCTATGAGCAAGCAAAGGCCTGGATATAACTCTAAACATATTACAATGCTTTGAAAGTCTATTCAAATTTACATTTGTTTAAGATATAATTTTCCCTAAAGTGTTTTAATTTTTTCATATACTTCAGGTTTCACCTGTGAAAGGTGTTACAGGTTCCTTTCTAGAAAATCAGCTATGACAATATGACTATGTACAGAAAGAAACATAAAACCAGCAACTTATTGCAAATAAAGTAAAAACACTGCTTTTCAAAGATCACTTTTCAAAGTAATATTAAACAATGCTTACCTTCTTCCTTGATATTTGTCTTGCTAATTTGCCATTAGCTCTGTTTAGTGGTTAGCTGTGTCGCAAGCTCAGAGCTAGAGATCTGAAGCCGCACTGCCAGAGAGCCCCCTCCGAAGTGTCTAGGGGGTATTTTTGGTCTGTTCACATGATACACGCAGAGTGAAGACCCAACTGTTTTTTTACCTCTCAGGTTGCACACAAGGGAAAGAGAATTTAGTTCTGCAATGGCTGAAGAAGAAAGTAAACCGGACCCAGCATTAGATGGAAGTATTAGGTGGGCCAATTGTCTAACAGTAATACTAACTTCACCTAGAGTCAGACAGTAATATTAGCTGCACACAGTATCAGGTTGCAATGCTAACTGTCTGACAGTCTAACCCAGTATCTGACAGTAATATAAACTTGCCCAGAATGAGACCATGATGCTAGCTGTGTACAGGTCATATGGTAGTGATAAATGTACACTTTTGACCAGTGACTAGGGGCGGACCGGCAACAAAAAGCAGCTCGGGAATTTGTCCTTGATTAGAGGTGGGGGGGGGGCCTTGGTATATTCATTAATCATCCATTAATCATCGCCTGCGATCAACCTGGTAACACGCCACAATCTACCGATGGGCTAGGCACCCCTGGTATAACAGCTACCGTCCCCTCCAAAAGTATTGGAACAGTGAGGGCAATTTATTTTCGCTGTACACTGAAAACATTTGGGTATTTACCAATGGTATTTACATCTAGACCTAAAGATCTGGTGTTCCATTACAAACGATCACTCTTCTAAGTTGTCTAACATATCTAGATGTAAATACCTGAAAATAAAAGCTGAATTACTGATCTCATCTCATATTTATCTTTTGGTGTCAAACCCAGATCTTTTCAGTGTTCAGCAAAAATAAAAGAATTGGCCTCATTGTTCCCATACTTTTGGTGGGGACTGTATCTAATGCCAGGGTTGGGGAAGAAAGACCAGCCCTCACAAGACCTGCCCACAGGGAAAATTCCCAAACTTCCTGATAGCCAGTTTGCACCTGTTATCCCAACCTATCACAGGGCACATACACATACACATGCTATGGACAAAAACAGATGCCAGGTAGTCTAGGTGCCTGTCTTGTGGGGGGAAACTGGGGTACCTGAAAGGGCCAGGAAACCTCCCACCTCCAATCACTGAACCAGTCATGAAGAATACAAGAAATTTAAAACAATAACTATGTATTTATATCCATTTTCTACACCTACTTGTCCTGTGTAGAGTAGTTGGGGGTGTGGAGACTAACCAGGACACTACTGATAGATGGATAGATAGATAGATAGATAGATAGATAGATGGATGGATGGATGGATGGATGGATGGATGGATGGATGGATGGATGGATGGACGATAGATGGATGGATGGATGGATGATAGATAGATAGATAGATAGATAGATAGATAGATAGATAGATAGATAGATAGATAGATAGATAGATACTTCATTTCTCCCCAAGGGGGAAATACAGATATCCAGTAGCTCCTTTTAAAAAACATACTAATAATAAAGATCAATACAGTTATAGTACATAAAGGACAGAGGGTGGAATGCAAAGAAGGGAATAACCCAGGACGGGGCACTGACACATCGCAGGACACACCACACCATTCACACCTGCGGCAGAGACTTGAATGCTCGTCCAGAGGTATGATGTTAACCTGAATGCTAACCAATGAGTCATCAGGCTGCTCCTCGTATACATAATGGTCTCATTAAGTCCATTGGAGTGAATACATGCAATTTACATTAACTAATGTACCTAACAGTATGTTTTTCAACTGTCGATGGAAACCCATACAAGAAAGGGATACCATACAAACGGCACACATGTGAGGCCACCATGCCACCAAACCATAAAATTATTCTTGCCTATAATAATAGTAATGTTATCTTTATTTATATGATTTATAAAATATATGGAAGTTTGTGTATATTTATTTATCTTGTGAAATACTAGTGAATAGGACAATAGACATACACTCACCTAAAGGATTATTAGGAACACCATACTAATACGGTGTTTGACCCCCTTTCGCCTTCAGAACTGCCTTAATTCTACGT